TGTAATATGAAGAAACCTTTTCGAAATTCTTGTAGATCAGGTTATTAATCATTCCACCAACATCTGAAGAGTTAAAAGAACACTTTCCACGCTGATTGTATGTCTGGAGACTGAGGACGCTTCGTTGGTATCTCTCCTCTACTGCCCTCCTCCGCTCCTTCAAAAGGGAGACTCTCCGTGGGGAAGGCACATTGATTCCCTGCTTGAATCTTTTCTTCTGCCACGGAATGTATCCTTACAGGCCCTATAGCTTCTCACATAAAAGAGTTCTCATGTCATTAAGAACAAGACTCCGAAAAGAAGGAGCATCTGACAGGCAAGCCCTACACAGAAATGTCTTTCATTACTCTAAGGTGAAAGGTATTATAACAAGAGGAATTGCTCAGTCAATGATATACACAAAATCATCTGGACGTCAGCATAGCCTGCACAGGCCACAATGCGAAACCTGGCATATACTGTAACACAAAGACAGCTCCGACTCAAGTGATCCCTAGTCGTCCTTCCTGCTGCAAGTAGTCCAGCCCTCCAGCTAAAAGCCTGTCCTACTTTGGCGACTCCACAACGAGCGACTAGGGTGTGCAGCCGCCGAAAGTTCTAACACCCGCTCGGTTGGACCACCCATTGCTAGATGTCTTCTCCACATCTGACGCAGGGCTCTCAGTTGATCTTTGTTGGGGCGGCGGGAATTAATCAAAATCGCGTGTCCCTTTTCGCTGAGTGAGCTAGAAATCCTGCTTCCTTTCACTACATTCTATTCATTAGGAGCACATACAGTTCACTGTAACCCATCTCAAAGGTTAAGAGGGCACATCTAGTTGATTTTGATCGAGTCCGACCCCTCCTCTAAGGGTGGCTTGTTACGACTCTCCTCTGATTCTATCCTCTGACTGATATTTCTCTGGGGTGAATACACTCAAATTTCATGAGATGGGGTAGGTGTGACTGCGTAATTGCAACAAGCATATAACGGGGTCAAGGTTTTTGCGAGATATTTTCGTTCTGGGACCGTTGTAATAATGTCTTTGCCGGACACAGAACAAGATGACAGTTGTCTCAAATTGAAATATCACTTGGGTAACCCATCCTATGCAATTTTAAATGCCACGCCCACTCCAGTTCAGGGAATGGGGTGTAGCACATGTGGAACGGAGGAAAAGCGCGAAAAAAATATGACTCCCATTCCTTGGATATTCCCCTAACTACCTACCACACTACAACTTGCTCCGTAATTTCCCGAAAATTTTCCTACTTTTACCCAAAAATTTTGCTTTCGGAGTGAAGGGGGAAGGGGTACACAGTGCACATGAGACAGGAACAACCACAAAAAAAATCAGCAACCTCTGAAAGCAGATCCAGAAGGGAAATACGCCCCACCCCTCCCCTTTGCAACCTTCCTGAAACAATAAAAAATCGAGTATTGAAATTTTTTCTAAGTCGAAATACGACCCCCTTACAGAGCACCTAGTTGTTGGGACCCCCAAACAGAGAAAAGCCAATCGCAGCAAAAACAAGCTTCTCAAATGCAACTACAACCCCTTCGTTCAACAACAAGTACACGACCTGTCGCGGAGATCTCCAAAGCACGATCTACCCCACTAGTTGGTGCTATGTGTAAGGACAAGCTACGACTTACATGGCGTTCGTTCCAGAGACAGAAACTCTCGGAATTCCTGAAAGAAAAAATAAACTTTTTTCAAAAATAGAAAGCAGTACTTGTGCCCACAATCATGCAATACTAAGGCTGAATTCCTTCTTTAACCAACAATGGCATGCGCTGCTCTCAGCTTTATCAACATCCGAGAAGAATGCCTGATCGCCACTTTGCCACACTCACTCCCTACAAGTTCCCAATTAAACACAGGTAACTGTGCAGTGGAGAATCGCATAATATTATAAATGCTACGAAACAAGTTGCTCAGGGTTTATTTCTCGAGAAAAGAGGATGAGACAGATTTCTTCTTGTTCCTGCCGTGGTTAATTGTCATCCGACTGACCTTTGTGCTGTTTGTGTAGATGGAGTGCTGGCATCGAGTAGGAGCATTGCAGTCCACTTCTACCGGTCGTGGCAAAACTTTTGAAAAAGTTGGAGCTGTTCACGACTAGCTCTAGCCAGTATGCTACCGCACATCAAGATCGGTGTTGTGGAGCAAATACAACGGTGCGATTGAGCAACCGCACCTTTTTGGAGTCGAGACACGTCGCAGGTTGGGGACCCTGAGCGGAGGTAGGGGTCGTTGTCGGCCCAGGAAGAGCAGTGAGTCTTATCTGCTTGAAGAGTGTTTCCATTTGTTGACTTTTTCCCACTGCAGGAATTGTTGGAAAAAGGTAGGTAGGCAGGATGGGATATGGTGGCGAGGCGGGGTGACCAGAGCGAAAATCGTGCGGGAGGTGGTTGTTTTGCACAAGTTTCCGCTAATAGCTGTATGCTTTCATTGAAATAGAACCCAAACTTTCAAATCTGACAACGGCAAGGGCAAACAATCACATGTATCTCACGTCATCCCTTTGATCATGGAACATCTCAACGAGTGCCATCAACGCCTCCATTTGTTCCTGTTATGGATGTGACTAAACTGTCAGTGCAGCCCATTGAACCATGGATCGCTAAATGTTCCATTCCCTCCGTTTGTGCGTGGCTTAGCCTGTGATCGAGTCGACGGTAAAATGACGTCAATGGTTGTCTTTACACCTCGGTAAGAGATACAGAACAGACGTATATCGTCAGGGAAATTTTCAGTGGACTGGCTCTGAGCGTCGCAAATGAATGGATAAGCCCTCCGAAGGGCTATACACCTCACCATTGTTACGAAATACAAGCCACTGGAAATGCAATATATAATAAAGTGACAACGGCACAGAAAGGCATTTGGGAAAGTAAAAAAGTTTTATCCAGACAGTAGCGAAATCCTAAATTTGCACGTAGCTGGGTCAATATACAACTGTGATTGGCTATAAACGAAGATTTTTGAATGGCTCATGTTATACCATGCGGGTATAAAAGCCGGTGAATACTAGCTAGTCACCATCACATCAGCTTCTTCATCATGGGACGTCTGCTTTTCGCTCTTTTCTTCATTGAAATCACTCTCTCAAAAGTGGAGCTCTACTCATTCCCGGTAAGTGAAAACTGAAGAGCCTCTCCAAAGAGCTGAAGACCTCTCTTTTCAAAGTGCAGCAGGCTCATCCAGTGCCAAAACCCAAAATTACTGGGAAAGGAAGTGAGATAGTAGGAGTGATTTTGAACACGAATATTAAATATGATGATGCTATTTCCTTCGAAGATGCCCTGCGCTTCCTCAATGACATAAAGGTCTGTTACAAAGCATTCTTACACTCATACCTGAACAGCCATGACATTTTGATTTATTTCAGATTTTGGAATACTCGAAGCCGCTTGGAGTCATTGCTTTTACTCCAAACATTGGCCCAAATTCGGACACCTTATTACCCTATGTCCCGTTGCAGTATGCTATTCCACTTGAAAACGCCGACTGTAGGAAGGTACTGCTTGTGCAGATTCTCGCTTGATCTTTTTGGAAAAGACAGAGCTTACGAGAACATTTCTGTGGGTGGTGTCAGAACTCAAGTGTTTTTTTTTAAGGTAAAACTCTGGATGAATCAAGTCGTCCCCAGCTCGTCAATCTACGAATCCGCCAATGTGGTCTGCTCTGATACGCCAACACCATCGGTAAGAATAAAGGTGATAAGTAGTAAAGAAGGGCTGTGGAGACCACCAGTGTTATGACCAGCAATGCATTTAGCAAGCACTCAAGGCACGACAGCTTTACTGATGAGTTCATTCGCACCATAACAGGAGCAAATACACCCGATTTTTCAAGCAGCTGATTGGTATCCTTCTCAGCCTCTGGAAATTAAACCAGTGCCGAAACCCGAAGGACACCTTATTGGAAAAGGAAAAGATTTAGTGTACGTCAAAATATACACTTCCGTTCTATTCGCTGGAGGGGATGCATACAAGTACTACGATTATTTCGATAAAACAAAAGTTAGTGGTTAACCACACGTTTCCTCATAGAGCAAAAAGTTCTTCAGTTTCTTGCTTCAGATTGCTGAACACTCGCAACTGCTCGCAGAGGGCATAGATCGTTTAACGTATGAAGTGGAGGACCGTCGTTTGCTCTACAGTTTCTTCATCAAAAAGACAATCTGTGAAAAGGTATACTTGAATGCAGTAGACTTCAGTGAAATTCCGCTGCTAATGTGTCAAAGATGGTGGCCATTTTAAGGTAGCATATTGGCTAGAGCAAGTCGTGAACAGCTCCAACTTTTTCAAAAGTTTTGCCACGACCGGTAGAAGTGGACTGCAATGCTCCTACTCGATGCCAGCACTCCATCTACACAAACAGCACAAAGGTCAGTCGGATGACAATTAACCACGGCAGGAACAAGAAGAAATCTGTCTCATCCTCTTTTCTCGAGAAATAAACCCTGAGCAACTTGTTTCGTAGCATTTATAATATTATGCGATTCTCCACTGCACAGTTACCTGTGTTTAATTGGGAACTTGTAGGGAGTGAGTGTGGCAAAGTGGCGATCAGGCATTCTTCTCGGATGTTGATAAAGCTGAGAGCAGCGCATGCCATTGTTGGTTAAAGAAGGAATTCAGCCTTAGTATTGCATGATTTGTGGGCACAAGTACTGCTTTCTATTTTTGAAAAAAGTTTATTTTTTCTTTCAGGAATTCCGAGAGTTTCTGTCTCTGGAACGAACGCCATGTAAGTCGTAGCTTGTCCTTACACATAGCACCAACTAGTGGGGTAGATCGTGCTTTGGAGATCTCCGCAACAGGTGTCGTACTTGGTTGTTGAACGAAGGGGGTTGTAGTTGCATTTGAGAAGCTTGTTTTTGCTGCGATTGGCTTTTCTCTGTTTGGGGGTCCCAACAACTAGGTGCTCTGTAAGGGGGTCGTATTTCGACTTAGAAAAAATTTCAATACTCGATTTTTTATTGTTTCAGGAAGGTTGCAAAGGGGAGGGGGGGCGTATATTTCCCTTCTGATCTGCTTGAGAGGGTGCTGATTTTTGTTGTGGTTGATCCTGTCTCATGTGCACTGTGTACCCCTTCCCCCTCCACTCCGAAAGCAAAATTTTTGGGTAAAAGTAGGAAAATTTTCGGGAAATTACGGAGCAAGTTGTAGTGTGGTAGGTAGTTGGGGAATATCCAAGGAATGGGAGTCATATTTTTTTCGCGCTTTTCCTCCGTTCCACATGTGCTACACCCCATTCCCTGAACTGGAGTGGGCGTGGCATTTAAAATTGCATAGGATGGGTTACCCAAGTGATATTTCAATTTGAGACAACTGTCATCTTGTTCTGTGTCCGGCAAAGACATTATTACAACGGTCCCAGAACGAAAATATCTCGCAAAAACCTTGACCCCGTTATATGCTTGTTGCAATTACGCAGTCACACCTACCCCATCTCATGAAATTTGAGTGTATTCACCCCAGAGAAATATCAGTCAGAGGATGGAACTAGAGGAGGGTCGTAACAAGCCACCCTTAGGGGAGGGGTCGGACTCGACCAAAATCCCGAACTAATGATGTGCCCTCATAACCTTTGAGATGGGTTACAGTGAACTGTATGTGCTCCTAATGAATAGAATGTAGTGAAAGGAAGCAGGATTTCTTATGGCACGAGCGCACTCAGCGAAAAGGGACACGCGATTTTGATTAATTCCCGCCGCCCCAACAAAGATCAACTGAGAGGCCCTGCGTCAGATGTGGAGAAGACATCTAGCAAATGGGTGGTCCAACCGAGCGGGTGTTAGAACTTTCGGCGGCTGCACACCCTAGTCGCTCGTTGTGGAGTCGCCAAAGTAGGACAGGCTTTTAGCTGGAGGGCTGGACTACTTGCAGCAGGAAGGACGACTAGGGATCACTTGAGTCGGAAGCTGTCTTTGTGTTACATATATGATAGAAACAGAAGCACTGTGAAAGCCACGGTTGGAAAAAAGGAAGATCAACCGTTAGCAGTGCTGCGATCCAATTCGTGTCGTTGTATCAGTTCAAGGGAATAATGAAAGCACACACAACACCCTGCACTGTAGAAGACAACATTTGGTGTATTCCGAAGCACTGCACGGGCTGCTTGCACGGCAGCCAGACGTCAGCACGTGCAGTGGAACAGGGCAGGGAAGGGGTCAGAGCACTGGGGTGGGTGGGGGATTGGTGGAGATACGACAGGAAAGCGTAGAGTGCGCTTCAACAAGAGCACACCACTACTTTGATGACGTACGTAGCCCAAATATGATCATCTGCATTCTTTATGCTAGATAATAGAATGGATTGCAGAGTATCAGAAATGGTAAGCGCTGAACGGTAGGTGTTTGGGTGTAGGTAATGGGAGCAAGGCTTGTGCTTTTACTGCAATATGAGCAGCTCAGTGAATGAGCAAATCTCGTTTTTTTATTATGAAGTGCGCCTGCGAAGCCTGGTGAAGTCGGGCTACAGAGAAGGAGGAGAGCTCGGCGTAAGCCGGGCGATCCGACTGGTAAATGAACGAATAGATTAAAAAAATCGGTAAAACTTGATAATGTGGTTACTTGATGTCCCAATCACGAATAGCGTTCCATTTCTGGCGCCACCGACGTTTGGAGCACTGCTAGGACTGTGCTGAGGGGAGGAGCGATTCCCTTCTGGCCAGGGTCAGCCTTAGCAGTGCGCTTAGCAGTGCGCTCATGGTCCGTGCAACACAGATAGCGATGACACCAAAAATCATTGTCTTATTTGTGATCAGGATGTCGAATAACCCCAGCATGGGTGTTTATATCGAACTGGTCAAAAAAGAGAGTGGCGCTGACGCCAAAGTGGTTGTCATATTTGTTATTAGGGTGTGGAATAATTCCTGACGCGAAGTTTCCCTTTTCGACTATCTCTTTGAAAAAAGAAATCGACTTTTCCATCAAATCTATAAAGTCTACATATTATGCGGTATCGGAAGAAAAGGAGGAATTGAGATAAGGACTAGACAGAAGTTGATCACCCTCTGTGGTGTTTTGGAAAAAAATGGAAATTCCGCGGAATCTGCCGATCCAGCAGATTCCTCATTTCTTCGAAACCGTCGTATTTGAAAGCGGCCCAAGCATTCCATCATAATTGAGACATTGTGCACTGAGGGTACATGGTGATGTGTGAAATACTGGTGTCAATACGACATCCCCTCCCCCCCCAATCTAAATGAGGGACTGAGTACGACCCCCTTCCCCAATAGAGTACAAATGAAACAGGAAAATTATCACAAAAGTCAACAACCAGCACAAAAGTCAACAACCGGGAAAATTTTTCATACGACCCTCCTATGTGTCTCCACAACGATGCTGCATCGTTTTTTAAAACAGATAAAGTGGGTATGAGACTTGCGGAACTCGGGAGGAAACGGGAAGCGGTCAGCGAAGTGCGACGGTCACAGTTAATCGCAAAAAAATACCGTCGACACAGTGGCTCTGTTTTGAGGGGTATACGGATAAGCATTTCAAAGTACAAACATGTGATTCCTCTGGTGCAGGTAATCAGAACACAAAAACTGTGTCTCAGTAATGTGAGTGGTTAACACGAGAACTATTCACTAAAACTCTGCGCTGACGCGAAATTGCTTGGGCGCCTACAGACCATCAAATTGCTTTTCAATACTATTCCCATTTCAACAAAATTCCAGATGGAAGTTTAGCTTAACTTCCAAGATCTGCAAACGTTTGGGATAGAAAATGTTGAATTCGGCGTCGCAACAGTGGTTACTGTTGAGCAGCGACTCTGTTTCAGTTAGAGGCGTTTTGTTTCTATTGCTTCGCTGGCAGGGTACAGCGTAGTGTTGTGAAAAATGGTGATGCCAGTACGACTTCCTCCTCC